CTCTTGCTCAGGCTGGTTTCGAACTCCTGAGCTCAAACAATCCGCCCACCTCGGCCTCCCAGAGAGCTAGGATTACAGGCATGAGCCACCACGCCCAGCCCTGTTTCCCATTTTATTTTACATTAAACTAATAGTTCTTTATTTATCAAATTTTTTGTGATCACATTTATCAAATGAAAGCTTAACATTATTAACCCTCCCAATGAATGTAGCATGATTTATATTCACTAGTTGGGTACTATGCCAAAAGAGAATGGATGAAGCATTCAGAAAAAGCAAGACATAAAATACATTTCAATCCCCTAGAGTTCCCTTTGATACATAGGTACATAGGCATCATCTCAACACTCACATCCAAAAACCCATTATCTTCTCCCTCAAACTAGCAATCACTGCCAATCTTCCCATTTCTATCAACATCACTCTCCCAAGGCCCCCATGCTATAAATCATGGAGTCATCTTTGTTCCTTCTCTTTGAATCCTTGTATTAATATATTATTAATGAAATATGATATATAAACTGTTAAGACATAAATTTGCTTTGCTTTAATTCTATTCTTTCCTTTCTCTCATTCCCATTGCCATCCTAATCTATGTCCTTACTACCACATGCCTAGGATACCTGCAATAGCTGAACTGTTCTCTGAGCTTTTAGTCTTTGATCCAATAGTCCCTAAACAGGGTTGTACAAAACAGGATCACACAGGGTCTTTTGAAAAGCAAACAATTCTAGACTCTCCTAGTCTGGTATTCAACAGTTTTGAGACAGGCCCCAGCTATGTTTGTTTGTTCGCTTGTTTATTTATTTATTTTCAGTTTGTTTAATTTTTCAATGATTATGTTACAAATCCCCAGCTAAGAATCACTGCTTTAAGCCACTGCTTAACCTCTTACAAGATCAACCTTTTTAGAAAGCATGATTTTCAATGTTACTCCCCCTTGCAAGAAAAGTCCTCTTATTCCCCAGCACTTACAACAAGATCAAGACCAAAGTCAAGGTACTCCGTGTTCTAGCCAAGCTCCTGTACTGTCCCACATATATGTTCTTTTCCACCTCCTCACTATTTCTCCTCTACAGTGGGCATGAGTCTTCATTTCTTCCCCTATGTGATTGCCCAGATCCAGTCTTACCTCTTCGAAAATGCCTCACCCAAACACTCCAGGAATCAATGGTATTTCCTACAGCACTTACAGACCCAAACACATTATGAGAACACTGCTATCATTTTATATGACTGCATTCTATCTTGCATTATTCTTTAAAAGCTTCTCAAAGTGAAAATCCTATTCCTTCAAAATCTCTCTGAACTTGGGTTCCTTGAAAAAATGACTACTTTCAAGGCTGACCAAGAAATTTCAAGATGATGCTAGGATATTTTAGCAAAAAACCTATCAAAAATGAATAGGGAATGGGGTCACATCAAAGGACACAGGTGCCAACTTAAAGTATCTCCTACTGGCCAAAGACAGGATAATCAGAGCATTTTTAAAAAATAGTAAATGGACTTTAAAATGTCAAACATATAAATTCATAAGTGTATGATACTTTAAAAAAAAAAAACCTCATTATTCTCAAAACTAGCAAATAAAACAAAAGAATTGAGCATACATCCAGTCTGTATACAATATTCCAGGATAACCAAATTGTTAATAAGGGTAAATTCTTTTTTACAAAAAAATTCCAGTAAATAAACACAGAAGAAATGAAAGAATTAGAATGTCACCTTTTTCCAACCCTACTGATACAAAGGTTTTCTGCAACAATCATCACTGGCTGCTAAAAAGCATGATGAAAGGCTGGTTGATGGTGGAATATATATGGGAATATACGGATATGGATTGGGCTTAGAACACATGAACCAAATGATAAATCTTAACATCACTATAAGTAGGACACCAAAGTGGTATATGCCTCCTGATGTGCTACGTAGGAAATACACAGTTCTGCCTAGTAAGTATTCTTCCCCCACTCCTTAAATTTAAAAAAAAAGAAAACAAAAACTAAATAGAATCAAGCTTTAGACCTGACTACCAGTTTAGAAGACACAGGGAGCAAAGAAGCAATTTAGACGATACATCAAAGATGTAATCAGCCAAATCCAGAATATAGTAAAATCTACAGAACAAGTCACCCAGTTTCTTCAAATAAATAGCACAATTGAGGAGGGAGGTTTATAAAAAGGACTTGTGTTATTTATCAACCAAATACAATGGTTTTTCAATCAAGAAAATCCGTAAAAATACATTTTTTAGATAATCAGGGAAGTCTGAACACAGACTAGGTATTAGATGACATTAAGGAATTTGCTAGAGGATGACAGAAGAAATAAGATTGCCAAAATGTTGATAAATTATTGAATATTATAGATATTTAAATGTAAAAAAAAGAACAAAACATTTTTTCTTTCATGTTCTATCAAGGGCCTAAAAAAGTGTTGAATGCTACTGACTGACTTACAAACAAGACAACAAAGGCTGAAATCTCCTTGCTGGGCTTTAGATATAAAGTACTATGCATTTTTAACTATGAATCAAAACACCGACATCTCTAATAGCTAATGTTCCCATAAATATAATACATTTTTCAATAGACTGCTTGACTCTCCCAACTAGCTATCCTGTCGGCATCTCATTCAACCTCACATAACCAAAGCCAAAACATCTCTCCCTCAAATACTAGCTCTTTTGCCTCTTTACTGTCACTTTTAACATTCCCACCATTCTCCTATCCATTCCTACAGAGGCTAAAAGGCTTGCTCCCTCTATCCATCTACCCAGTGGCTAAATCACATGGCTTCTGTCTATAAAATCTCTCTTTCCATTTCTACCACCACCATCCCTGTTAAGCTTTCAATACTTCTCACTTGAAGCCTTCTTAATCAGCTTTCTCTTTCTTCCACCTACCCCATCCGTACTTTACAACATCCCCATTTTCATCTTCACCATCCATTCTACACAATACTGCCAGATTCATCTCCCCGAAGTACAAGTCTATTCCTATCACTGCCCACTTTAAAATCCTCGGAG